TTTCTTCTCTACACGTTTCATAAAGGGGCGTGTCACTTTGCAACCTGCGGCGCGCCCACGTTTTATTGAATAGACGGTACGCCAAAGGCGCATAAGAAAAGTTTGCTTGCAGGGTTCGAGCGGAATTACTTTTGATTTTGTTTAGGGTTTTCGAAATCTGTTTGTCATTTTTTTTTTCACCATTTTTCGCGCTTTTGTGATGAGAGAGTAGGATTTCTGAATACTTTAAAATTTGAATGTTGAAAAATTCCGAAATTCCGAAAATTTTAAAATCAGAATAAACCGAAGTTTTCAAAACCGGAATATACCGAAATTCCGAAAAATTTTAAACTCGGTATTTTCGACATTCTGAAAAAAAATCTGAAATAACCATTCCGAAAACCTTTGCTACACAATGTTTCATTGGTTAAAAATTCATTGCTCAAAACAAGTTTTCAAATTATGTTTCTTCTTTCCAAGATAATGGAGTCGGCTCCAAGAGTTCCACTTTTTCCTCAACCTTCTCTGGTGTCTTCGTAACTTTTTTCTTTGAAAAATGAAGAATACGTTCGGAATCATCTGGCTTTTGGGACACTTCCTTATCGCACTTAACATCCCCCTCTCTTTCCACAATTTTTTCAAGTGAGATTTTCTTGATTGTTCGAGATTCTTTTGATCCTTTCTTGCTAACTTTTTTACTCAATACTATTTCTTTGCCATCAGACTCTTTGTTTATGACGGGTTTAACGGCCGGTGGTCCTACAGGTTGTGCTACGGACTTCTCCTTTGTTTTCTTTTCGCTAGTAACTTTCGAATAGTCTTTGTAGTCTTTTGATTCTATTGAGCTACTGCTATCTTTCTTATCTTTTTCAATCTCGTTTTGCACTGAAACTGTTCTAGAAACAGTCGATTGTTTCCTGAAAAATGGTTCCGTAAATCCTCTATTAGTTGTTTTGTGACTATACTTTTCTCCGGAATCTACTGATGTTGTGATACTCGGAGATGTAGATGATGTTTTAGGTTTCTTTTTTTCTTGCTTCGGTGCTTGATTCTTTTTTGAACATGACATTATTACAACTAAAACGAACCGTATTTTGAACGCGTTTTAGCCAAATTTTTCACCTGTCCATAGAACAAAACCAATTATATCTGACAAAATCCATGTCATCTTTACTAAAACGTCAATATTTTGCGAAATGATTTCTAAAACTATCTTTAACAACACGATAAATCAGAGTATTTACGAGTTTTATCGTGCTTATAATGGTTTACAGACCTCAACTTCACACTTTTTCGAAATAGGCCAATTTTTCTCTAATTTTATGTGAAACGATACTGAAATATGTCTTCCCATTCGAATTCGTGGTTGCATAATATATTCATGAGCAAATTCTCCCTCACTAACAGATTCCCCGAGAACCATGCGGCGCGTTGCGTTTTCGGGTTGTCCGCAACGTGCGGCACAACTAAAATCCCGCCTTCTTTCTTTTCTAGCTTTCACGCAAGCTTGCTGTCAGCTCTATTGAACACGTATTTTATGGTGAAGTAAATACGCAACTGGAGGTGTGGGTACGTATAGTTTCCGACATATAGTGTACACACTTTGATTCGAAATTGTTTTTCGTTACATAACTCATACTTAATCTCATGTCCAGTCTTGCCAAAAGTCTGACTCTAATATATGACTGTTTTCCAGTACCATGACAACGCGGCTAGATTTCACAACAGCCGACCTCATTACATGCCTGATTTGCATCAGAGAATTCGATACGAAGACCAGGAAGCCGAAGGTGTTACACTGTGGACACACTGTTTGTGAAGAGTGCACCGCAATTCTGAAGGACCCCACTGTGTATGTGTTTAGTCGCATATTATTGGATGAAAAATGCTGGGTTTGAATAAAATCATGTTTGATAAGATACTCATATTCTTGAACAGTTGAAAAAAATCTACTATATTAATTCGTAATTTTCAGATCATACTTGGCTGTTCGGTGCCCGACATGTCGCCAATTCACATCTCGTGGAAATTCGCAAACCTGCAACACCAACTTCCAGCTCATGGGATATCTCGCCGAAAAAGAGAGAATTGAGCGAGAACGAGCGGGGAAGGGCACGAAGGGGAAAAAGGCTGAGCAGCTTTTTCAGCTCAAACTGACTCGTAGTAACAAAATGGAGATTCACGTTGCCCATAAAAAGGATCTTAAAGGAACAGAAATGTACTGCGGAAGGATGTTGATGGAACCACACATATAGTATTCGCAGGAAAAACAGGATCTCCGGAAGAAGTAGTGAAGTTCATTAACGATAATGGAATCAGCATCGAAACCGGAAAACTAATGCCTCAGATGGTTCACGACGAAGGAAATAGCAAAGAAGCAGAAGGATTTGTTAAGGTCAATAGGTTGGCTACTGGACAATCTGCGTTTAAATGCGCAAAGGCGCCAACAAAGTTGGAAGAAGCTGAATTCAGAGGATCATTTGAATTGAAAGCGTCGGGATCCGAGGGATCCATAAAGCTGGAATTGGTGAAAAAAGGAGTAATTCCGAAAAATGGATTCGCAGGTATATTTTGACATTACATAATTCTAATGGGGTTATTAGGTAAAGAAGCAAATCAGCAAAATTTCTTCTCTGAATAACCCCATAAGTTTCTAAAATACTGAAACAGCCTTCGAAAGACTCGCTGGTTGATAGTTTTGATTCAATGTAGATTTATGAATGTTTATAAATAATTATCTAGTATAATTCAAATATAGTCATCTCATTTTCCTTCCTCACGTATATAAGTTTTGAAGCGTTGAAAGAATGTGGAAGCGTGGTCGAATGGTTACTGAGGAAGAATATGAAGCGGATACTCTCTGGTTCGTCTCCCTCGAGCTGCTAAACTCTTTTTGAATTTTTTCTTCGTGCTTTCTGGTGACTGTATCTGACTTCTAGGTGATCCTATATGATTCCATATACTTGGAATTGGTTTCCATTTTTATTTTAACTGCGTTACCTATTATTTTCGAAACTTTTTTCATNTATTTTTCCACGATTTTCAAATGAGTTTAATCCATTAAAGATTCTAGACGAACCGCATATTTTTGATTTTGCTCAAACTATTGTCATTGGTCTTTTTGGGCACGCCGATTACAGAACTGAAGTCAATTTTTCCACCCCGGCCTTGTGAAAAAAGTTATGAACTATAAAAGTGACTACAGTACTAATTTCCCATTTTTGGAGTGAGTTTCTGAAGGAGTTACTGACTTTTTTTTGGCTATATTTGAATGTTATCCGTATTTTGTATGCTTTTCTACAATCTGAAAAGGTTTTCTCTTTTTTTCGGTAACATTTTTTGAGAAAATCGCCATGCCATGGGGTACCCCATATCTACAAGTCAAATACAGTCATTAGAAAAAACAAAGAAAAAATTCAAAAAAGGTTTAGCAGCTCGAGGGAGTCGAACCAGAGAGTATCCGCTTCATATTTTTCCTCAGTAACCATTCGACCACGCTTCCACATTCTTTCAACGCTTCAAAACTTATATGCGTCAGGAAGGAAAATGAGATGAAAAATCCACGTCATTTTTCGAAACTTTCGACCCAATTTTCTCGAAATCTACCGCGACAAAGCACTTTTTGAAAACAGATTTGGAATCAGGAAAATGTCAGCTTTCAGATGATATAGGTCACCACCCGTATCGCCACACCTGAGAAAAGTCTTTTTCAAAAAAAGTTCCCAAGAAACAAGGAAAAATGGTGGAAAACTGACACAACTTCCGAAAAACTCAAAGGAAACTTACTCTTACCGTGAAACCTCTACTAGAACGACACCCGGATCGTNCACTTTGAGCCTATATATCTCATTTTCTGTGAAAGATATCAAAAAGTGGCTAACTAGTAAAATGTTGCTGATATCCTGATAAACATTTTATTAGTTAACCACTTTTTGATATCTTTCAAAAGAAGTGAGATATATAGGCTCAAAGTGGACGATCCGGGTGTCGTTCTATTAGAGGTTTTACGGTAAAAAAAACTCAACATTTGCATCATGACGGTTAAGATACCCTTCACACACAACGAACTACGCAAAAGTGGGGGTTTATAATCGAATGGGTGGGGGGCTTATTTTGAATTGGAATGGACCATTTAAAAGTGGGGGTCTATATTTGAATTGGTGGAGGAGCTTTTTTTGAACTGCTGCAAGTGTCTAGATTGTTGGAGGTGGGGGGCTCTACTATGGTTCATTTTGGGGGGATGTACTTGAATTGGGGTGGGGGCTATATTTGAATTCATCTAATTATCTTTTCAGTGCTCGGCGGTTGTATGACCAAGCCCAATCCAAAACGCATCAAGGAGCTCACTGCAAGTACAAGCACCCCAAGCACTTCTAAAGCGGGAGCTCCAGAAGCGACAGTCGAAGAACCTCTTCCAAAACGTCGTCGTTGCAGAAAATGATTCGTTTCCGTCCGCAATTATCGTTTTTTCACTTACATCGACCCAAAAGTTTTATTATAAAAAGATCTACACGCGTATTGTATACGTGTCTTCGAATGTATCAGAATGCAATTCTTAACCGTTTTATAATTGCTTATGATTCTTTTCTCTTTCATGATCTGATTTTGTTCACCATATAGTTCGTTCCAACTCCTGTTTCGAGTATATGTTCCATTTGTTCTAATATTTGTATTCTTGCTGTTCCATGATCCGTTTCCATTTCCGATGTTTAGGTTTCGAAAAGAAAAATTATTTTCAGTTACCCCGATATTATCCTTGTCTGAGAAAAAAAAGGTAGAGACGCAGAGAAAAAGTGTCTGTGTCTCCACCTTATGTGTGCTATTTAGGCTCTCCGCTTCGATATCGCTACCGTATTCAGACTGCAAAAAATACTCTCTAACCTTTTTTTTCTCAGACAAGCAAAATAAAGTTCTAATTTTATTTTATATATGCTCTCATCCCGTTTTTCTTTGCGTTCTTTCGCTAGTTCTATATCTTATCTGATAATTTCGGAACCGATTCCGAGAAAATCGGGGCGAAGTCTATTGTGCAACTGCGGCAGTTAACAAGGGAGCCATGTTTAGCCTTCATCTCACAATTTTTTCTAAATTTGCTCATTTATAGATTCAAACAAGGGCTTTCTTGTGGTGTATTTGGTTTTCTGCACAATTTTCTAGAAATCGAGTTATGGGCTGTTTAAGTGATTTCAGTACTAATTTCTCATTATTGGAGTGAGTTTTTGAAAGGTTTAATGAGCGTTTTTCGGCACTTTTTGAGTGTGAATCGTAATTTTAAAAGTTTCTCTACAATCCGACAAAGTTTCCTTATTTTTCAAAAAAAAATTTTTTTTTGATAAAATTTTGCCATGGGTAACCCCCTTTTGCGAAAATTTCAATTTTTCGAAAAAATTTTAAATGTGCTAAAATGAATTCTAAACGCATAAAAATAATAAAATCAGTCTTTTCACAAGATTCTGTAGACTATATCCGTTTTGAAATCCCAAATAAGTGATTTCTTCCGAAACTTCCATAAATCATAGTCCTTCGAAATTCACCCAATAGCATTCAAATCTTGTGAAAACATAGATTTACATACTTCTTGACAGATTTATCACAGTTCCGCAACCAATATGATCAAATCGGAGGATTTCAACTGACATTCTGAGTAGATAAGGCTTTTCAGTAGTGCTTCAAGAATTTTTCAGAAATTATCATTTTTTCAAAAATTAGTTTTTTTCCAACTCAAATAATAGAGCAAACATAATTTTGATTTTCGAAAAATGCAAAACATTCCTTCAACATCAAAGAAAAAAAAAGAAAAAAGAAAATGGACAAAGACGGAGTCGAACTCCAAACTTGTGATTACTATTCATCCACACTATCCACTCGGCCACTGTTGCTCTTTTCTTCCACAATGAAAATGTATAGAAGAAAGGGGGGAAAGTGGAAGGGAAGGAGGAGACCAAAAAAACAGCATATTTTCAGATGGACTTTTCTCTACTTCTAGAAATTTGTGCAGAAAACCAAATACACCACGAGAAAGCCCGTATTCAAAACTATAAATGAGCAAATTTAGAAAAAATTCTGAGATGAAAGCTAAACATGGTTCCCTTGTAAGTGAAAGTTGAGACTCCGCCCGGATTTTCTCACAAACGGTGGTCTCTCATAAAATCATCATTTTTTTTCTAGTTTTTTGTAGTGGCAAAACCATATCTCTTCAAAGCATGTTCCTTTGACAATATACTATAATCCTTTCTAGAAAAATGCTGCTTTTTCCATTTTTTTTTGAAAACAATACAATTGGAAAATGCCACCTCGTTTCAGTATACATTTAAAATACTGTCGAGATAAAAAAAAACTGACACCGGAACACTTCGCGGGCGGTGTTCGTGTCGATTTAAAATTAAAACTACCGTAACCCGAAACATATTTACACTTTCCGGATTTCGTTTCTGTATTGCTGTGTTCTGACTATTTTAGTGACATTTCGATCAATTCAGAAAAAATCTATTCGATTTATATAGTGGGAAAATTTCCAAAAAACGAATGACGATTGGGTAGAAAGTTCTCTGTTCTTTTCTCTCGTTCACTTGCTAGTGTACAGTTCCTTTCTCCCACAGTCCCATCTTCCATTGATTCTCCTTCACCTCATAGTTTCTTCATTTCACTATGGAATTATCTTTTGCAAACCAATAGTTACCTTTTCCATGCCATCTTCACACTTCAATCGATAGTGGCCGCGTCTTCGTCGCGGTTCGCGTTTTTTCCTCTCACCTCTCTCGTTCGCTCAGATATAGCGCACTAGGCATCGTGGCAGAGCAGAGTGAGAGCGCGTATTGGAAAATAGGCAAATTCATCTTCTATTCCTCTTCCTCGTTTTTTTAAACTCACTTCCAGATATAAGGTCTTCGTTTCAGGTGACTATGGAGGATGCTGATTTGGCTGAAATTCCTCCAGCGTCTCCGGATGACGACAATGCCGACAGAGCAAGCTGTATGGTGTGCTATAACGTTTTCCGTGAGTTTCAAAATTATTGGTTTGAGCCCAATCATTGATTTCAGACTCAAAACTTCGGGTGCCGAAAAGCCTTCCCTGCGGGCATAGCTTTTGTCAGGGATGTATCAATTCCTTGATTTCAAATACACCACAGTTTGTCAGAGGTCTCCCATGTCCAACATGTCGTAAAATGGTCCCATACGAAAATCCTCAGAATCCGCAAAGCTCAATTCCGACAAACTTCGTTCTCCGAGGTAAGTTAAACTTGAGAATCGTGTAAAACTCAATCACCTTTTCAGAGGTTCTTGAAAAACAGGAAACAGATAATCTTTCCCAGCTAGGAGAAAAGTATTGTTGCCGTCATTGCCAAAGAGAGTTCCATGAGAAAGATTTGATGAAATGTGATACTTGCTGTCCTAAAGCCCGAAATGATGATTCTGTAGACTTTATGGTAATTAGTTCTGAGTTTAGAAAAATTACGATTTGTGGTATTCATTCAGGGTCGCCCTAATCTTACACTGTCCTGTTCGGGTTGTATGGTCAGACACCATCGAGGTCATTTGTTCGTGCCTCAAGCTATCGTTCAAGCAAGATGGAAGCACAGGAGTCTTTATCAAAAGTTCGCAAAGAGTGTAGAAGAAGAAGACAAACGAGTGGATAAATTTATTGAATCGATGACGAATGCTATTGAAATCGCACAGAAGTTCAAGACTGTGAGTTTGAAAACTTTTCATCAGTTTCATAGTTTCTTATTTGATTATGAATTTCAGAATCTTCACGAAACTGCTCGTCAAGTAGAGAATAACCCTCTTCACACTAAAATCAGTTCGGTTTTGAAGAATTTCGTGAAAGCTGCCAGTGACTCGGCCAAATTCATGAACATTTCAACAGATTGTATAGAACGCTTCACGAAGCCCAGCGTAAGTAAATCATTAACTAACGATCAGAGACCTAATAGAAACTTTAAGGCACCTCAAAACTCTATGCTTGGGAAAGAACTTTTCAAATTTGAAAAGCCAGCCAACGAAGTTGTGCAAGACTATGGACAGTGCTTAAAGAATCTTTTCAAGGAATCGCATCAATCAACAAGTCAAGGAAGAAATGTAAATAACTTGGATCCAGCAGGTCCGGCGCCTGTTGCTAATGTTGCTCCTGCTGCTTCTGCTGCTGCCCCAGTTGCTCGTGCTGCCCCCGCCGTTGCCGCAATGCCAAATCTAGGGGGTGTATTAGATATAAGAAATCCGTTCGCAAACTTATTTGGCAATCAGTTTTTGCAAAACATCAATATTGGACAAATGCATATGCCTTTAAACAATTTCAACCAAGTTTTTATGCAGCAACGTGATCAATATCTTCAACTTCAAGCTTTACAAGCTCAACAACAAGCAGTTCAACATCATGCACTTCAACAGCTGGCTCAGCAGGCTCAAGCTCAAAATCAGTTTCTATGGAACATGAATGTAGCCGTTGCTCAAGCCGACCAGCAACAAGAAAACTTTAATGTGCAATTTCAACTTGATGTTCCACCGCCCGACAATCGTAATAGAGTTCAGGACTTTTTCAACGACCAAATTATTGCTTTGAACCCTGCTTTTGTGGGAAATGGAGCTGTAACGCTAGAGCGATTTATTCGTACTTTGGTTGACAACGTTCGGTTGGATGACGGATGGCAGGAAGTTTATAACTTTTTCTTCGTGGCGCCATATGAAGACAGAGACTTCACTCCACGCGGAAGCCTTCAAATCTGCGCAGTGTTGCAAACCATTTTAAATGCCGGTATCTTGATTCAAGGACGCATGCCCTATACTGGATTTGAGCAACTGCTCCAGGATCTCCAAGAGTTAGATAACGTAGAAGAAGTAGTCGAAGAACCAGAAGTTGTTTGGATTAGAGATGACGATGATGTGGTATTCTTGAATATGCAACAAGCCCAGATGGCACCTCCAGCTGCTGACGATGAGCAACCCGAAGTTTTGATTGTTGCCCCTGTTATTGATAACAATGCCGAGCAGAACATGGCTGACGAAGGTGAACAGGTCGGACAAAATGAAGAAATTCAAGAAGAAGTAGTGGGAAACGAACAAGAGCAACCGAACGTTCAAGTTCAGCGCGATGATTTTGAAATACAGATTCGCGATAACTTTGTTTTCCAACACGAAGATCTGGTCCCATTGCCGCCCGCTAGGTCAACTAGAGGTGAATGAGAATCTGAAATTTTTCAAATAGTGATAAATATTTTAGGTGCAAAGCGCCGTGCGGATAGCATCGCTCAACAAGCCCAACAGAATGAACAGCGCAATGAACCACCCGCCACTCCAGAGGTCCGACGTCGTGGAAGACCAAAACGAAACCGACCCGGATGAATTGTATACCGAAAATATTGAACTTTTTGTTCAAATTGATATGTTTGCTGGCTGAAATATAATAGCCTGCATCAGGGTTCTCTCCTCCGACCATGTTTAATATTTTTTTATTCTTGAGTCACACCGTAGTCTTATTCATATTCAATCCCTGCATATAATGTCACCCTTCGCCCGATTAACTGAATCATAAATTTTTTATTTTAAGATGTTGCAGTCTATATTTTATTCAATCGTCTTTTTTCGGTTAGTACTTGTTCTTATTGTCTCTTTTCTCTCTTAAAAATGATTTATTATATGTGCCATTCTTTATTTAGGAAAAACCTCCAATGGATCTCTTTGATGATATGGAATTCAATGACCAACTAGATCGATTAGAACAACTTGATGAGCTGAGAGCTGAAAGTAAGTGAAACCAGTAACGATTGAGCCGATAGATTTGAAATATCGAAGATTCCGGCAGTTTTTTGGCATTTAAAGTTGATTTTCAGCACTCAAAGCCATAAGGGTTCAAAAGCAAAACTCTAATAATAAAAATAGGAATTGTTCTGTTTCAGTACACATGGATATGGACATAGAGTTGAATGTAGGTCAACTAGGAGACCCGTTTGATCTTCGAGTTGATCGAGAAGAAAATATCGTCAACCCACAGCCTGAAGGAATGGAACAAGCAGCTGGTGATGTCCCCGGAAGAAATCGTCAAGAAGCAGGTAATCTGGGTGTTGGTGCCGGTGATCCAGAAGTTCAGCCAGTAGAAAATCAAAATGGTGCAGCCAGTGACACAGGAGAGTCTACCAATAAACCTTCTGAAGACAACCTTAAGGAGGACCGAATTGAAGCTATTCTGACTCCCAAAGGGACGGAGATGAAAGGATTCTCTTGTATGATTTGCTATGATCCATTCAGTATGTGTATATCTCTACTCGTTTTGAATATTAATATGTTCCTTTTCAGACACTGGAAAACGAATTCCAAAAGTTTTTCCTTGTGGACACACGTTCTGTCTCAGTTGTGTCGGCGGACTTATGAAAAATAGGACATATTTGAGCAGATCTACTGTCGTTTGTCCAACGTGCCGGCAGAATACTCAGTATCCCATGACTCTTAATCCCGAAAAAGTTCCCACAAATTATAGTGTGCTTTGTAAGTTGTATATTACTTATTTAATCTGTTATATTTTCATTATAGCAATGTTGGAACAACGAAAAGAGGAAAGCAATGCGAAAACTGAGAAAGAAATGCTAGAATGTAATACATGTCATGAAGTTTTGGACGGTGAAAAGTAAGTCATTGGGGTTTACGAGAAGCTCATTTTTTATTGCAGAGTGACTTTATGCAACGAAAGTGAATGCCAAAATATAAGTGATGAAGGTAAACTTCTGGGGACAGACAGTATCGTAGGTTTCGTATTAATACGTTCTGGTGTATTATTTGACTGATTTCAGAAACGTATGAAATGCCTACTGGTCTGTTCTACATGTATTGAGAAAAATCACTCTCGTCACAATTTTACTCCATTTGTGAAGGTAGTGGCACAATACGAAGCGAATCAAAAGATCTGCTCAGCTGAATCAAATCTCGTTAAAGCATTTAAAGCTGCCGATGATGCGCTAATTGGCTTGAAACTCGCGGAGACTGAGCTGTTAGATCATAGACGAGTAAGTTTTTTTTTGCAAAAATGGTTTCAATCAGGTATTTACAGAGAATGACAAACGCGATTGAAAACATTCGCTCCCAGGCTGATCATCCAATGATCTACGAATATCTCAATCGTTTCACAACATCTGTCAAAGCTTCTGAACAACTCTTCAAACGATTAACCGGAGACATGAATGGATTTGATTTTATATCAAAGGTGTTTTAGAGTATTATTGTTGTCCGAAAAAATTGGAGTTAGAGAGTATTTTTTGCAGTCTGAATACGGTATGCACCTTGAAGCGGAAAGCTTAAATAGCACATACTCGGTGGAGACACAGAGAAATTTTTTGTTCAACTGTCTGCGTCTCGACTCCAATTTTTCGCATAACAATAATACTTAATGCATCAAAACAATGCAATTATTTCAGTCTCGGTACTATCGTGCATTTGGTAACGATTCGCTTCGTCCAATATCAATCACTCCAATCAACGCGGGCTCGAAAGGAGCGTTGGAGCCGAAGCAAGAGCCAGTAGATGAAGCAAATATTCGTCCCCGTGTTGACAGGGTACCGAGAGGGTTGAATCGAGATATGGCTCGGCGCGCAAGAGTAAATGTCTTTGGCCCGTTCCATGCTCGCAGAGCGGGAGCTCTTGGTCCAGATATGGATTTCCCAAATATTGGAAATATGTTCGATCAGATTATGCAGCAGCTTGATGTTGCAGTAGACCCGTTTGGAGGTGCTAATCGTGGTTTATTTGGGCAACCGGCTGAGAATGCTGCAAACGCTGTGAATGATGCTAACGCTGCACCGGCAAACATCGCCGGAGCTGAACCACAAAATAATGCAGCAGTTCAAGATCCAGCGCAAATCCGAGGCGCCAGGAATCCTCTTGGTAATCGATTCGACATGTGGGGAGTTCGTGCTCCATGGCAACATCGCCGTAACGTTCGCAACGAAAATTGGAGAGATTTCAGAGGGATTCGCCTTAGACTGGAGGCGGCAAGAGATGCCAACGCAGCTCTTCAAGTTCCTGAAATCCAGCAAGTGATAGATGATTTAAGAGACCGTGGCGATAATATTCTTGACAATGATCTCAGAGGGCGACGACCCCCGTTGCTCCATCCCCATGCTGATATGGTTCGCGAGTTTGAGCTTGCTGAAGGTCATTTGAACAGACTACGGGTACGATTGGATCGTCTAAATAGAGATAATGTCCGCGATGAGCATCCTCTACCTCCAGCGGATGTAGCTGAACCCGCTCCTGTCCGGTTTGTCGATCAAATAATCGACGAACCTCTGCCACAGTTGCCACCTATCGATGGTTACAACCAGGAACAAATCCAAAGAGCTGAGATCGTTGAGCTTGTTCGACGCGTTAGTGCTATGGTGAGAAATGAAGCTCATGCCGAGGCTGATGCCAACGGACAACCACTACCCAACAACTATCGTTTACCACTGCTACTGAATCCGGACGAGAATCCAGGAGCTCCGGATCATCGCAATTTGCTGCCACATCAAGTTGAACCATTTCTCATTGATCTCAGAGCCCTCGAGCTAGAATGGATTCAACGAGGTAGGGATCGCCGTGCTCGAGCTGCGCTCGTAGTCCAGGAAGCTGCACAAGTCAATCAGCCTGCAAATGATGCCGAAGCGGAAAATAATGTCGTTAGAGGTAACATCCAAACTTGTCTACACACAAATAACCTCTATTAAATTTCAGGCGGAAACCAACGTGTACCTTCTCCAATTCCTGATGAGCCAGCCGCTAAACGTCATCGCCGATGATTCATGTTCAGCGAGTTTCGGACGGAACCGTACTTGTTATTTAAACTTACCATGCAATTCAATTGACCTTTTAAACATGTTTTATTATCGTTAACATACATTAAATATTCCAATAGTCCCGATATTAAATCAATTATCCTGTGTCTCCCTATATAGTTTTCGGTATTATTTGTGTCTGAACACTTTTGGTGGCTTTACCTATTTACAATCATCTTAATAAACCACACCAACGCGAAGTTTACCCACCAAATGTGGAAATATTTTGATATGTTTTTCGTTTCGAAATATCTGTACTGATGCAAATTGAGTTCTGTGATGTTTTTGATTGCTTACACTGTTATTTGCAGAAGTGGATTCAAACATGACCACCGCTGACGACTTGTTCGGCGATGTGGAAATGGGTACCCTTATATCATGCCCAGTTTGCCGTGATACCTTCAGTGAGTGCTAACAATAGCACATAAATTTTCTAAACTGAGTTTTCAGACTTGAACGAAAGGTGTCCGCTCAACATTCCATGTGGGCACACAGTTTGTACTCAATGTTCGAACTCACTATTACCACATACGGGGGCACCAGTGATGATGTGTCCAGTATGCAGAAAGAAACACATTGGCCAGATTCAGAACGGAGTATGCAGATTTCCTTTTCCAAAAAACTTCCAACTCTTGGAGGTGATTGAAAAAGTTGTAAGTCTCAAGCAGAGAGCAGACAAGACACGAGCAGAGCGACGTAGTGTCAAATGTATGGATTGCAAGAAGACATTTGCAGATGATATGTGAGGTTCGAATTCATTGTTCACCGCCTTTACTTTTGTTTTTCAGGTGCACTACGTGTAGTTGTGTTCTCATACATTCAAACAACGACTTCGATTTCTTGGTTAAGGAAACAAATCAGTCACCTTGATAGATAATGTACTTTCAGGGCCGCGCAACAAACAAATTGATTTGTGTAAGCTGTGTGCATGACGGACATAAAAATCACGACGTAAAACCGATGGAAGCAGTAAAAGCAAGTCGAAACTGTCTACGAAATTCAAGAACATCCCAATTTTAGGCAGCATCCGACAACAGACATCAAATTAATCAGCTCATGGCAGCTGCAGAAAGAGCTAAGAACAAGATTGAGGGAGCTAAGATTTCGTTGAACAACTGCCTAGACGAGCTGAATCAAGTTTGTGGAGTGAGTTTTCGTTACGAATACAGAACACGAGTGTTTTTTTGTTAAAATGTGATCTTGGTTCAGATTGTCGATCAACTGTTGACTAGTGTGAAAGAACATTCAAAAAATGGTAATCTCATCTGTTTAACTTCAAAGTCTACAGTGAAAATCAAATCACTCGAAAACAATGCTTCGGATATTGCCAAATCTGCTCACAAAGACGCCACGAGCCTTGGGGTGAGCATTTTCCGAATCAATCTCGCGAAGTAACAATTCTTCAGATCGAGTCTGCTGCCCTTCAGGAACTCTTATCACGTACTAACAACAGGGTTTCGGAGACTGGGCTCCGACCGTCTGGGGATCGTAGACCTCCAATTCTTGATAATCGAAGACCCGCACAGCAGAATCCAGTAGCAGCAAGAGATGCTGTTCCAGTCGCTCAAGTCGCAGAACAAGGTGTTGCTCAGCCCCCACCGGAGAATGTGGGTCTAATTCGAGCTGAAGAGGCTGAACCGGAGGCTCCACCAATGGAAGAAGACGCGGACGTGGATATCTTAATACGTATAAGAGATGACGCACAGCGAGAGGGGCGAGTTCGAGAAATTATGGAACAGTTGATGAGAGAAAATCCTGATGCGGCTCCAGTTGGAGGTGCTTTTCAAGTTCCCAACGGTGAGCGCATCGACGAACGCTTCAATGGGCTCGTTCAAGGAGTGTTCCATTTTTTGGATGACATGGTAGCTAGAGAGCCAAATAACGGACAAGGTGCCGCTGACGGAAATGCCGATAATGATCAACTGCTTGATGAGATTGTCCTACTCGAACGTGATAATCGAAACGAAAACCGACCTCATCTTGTCAGACGGCGAATTCAAGTCAGGTTCCAAATTCAAAACGAACAGCCACAAAATGAAGAAGCAAGAAATGAAGATCCAGTTCCAATGGATGTAAGAGACGATGACGAAGTTATTATTGTCGGTCCAGCAATCCCAGATGATGCCGGCGAAGCTGTAGTTAGACGAGGACGAGGAAGACCTCCAGGAAGAGGAGCGAGAGCTAGAGAAGAGCAAGCTATGGCTGGAGGTAACGGTGCGAGAAGAGGAGCAGCTGCCGTGGCTAGAGGGAACGCTGCGAGAAGAGGCGATGCTCCCGCTGCTGGGCGAAACGTTGCTGGAAGACCAGCAGCTCCAGTGGCAGGAAACGCGAGAAGAAGAGGAAGACCCGTTGCTGCGCGCCACAATCCAATTAACCAGGATCTCAGAGGCGGACGTAGAAACCGTCGTCAAAGTAACTAAGTCTGTTAGATGTTCTGCTTCCAATATCATTTTTACAGATGCATGACAGTAATTCAACTAATACTGAAACAATCATCACATCATACTAATAATCACCAAAGTTTTTCAAATTAATTGTACTATCACATTCATTACTTTTTGTTCAAATCTGATAAAATAAAAAATTTTCCTCTTAAATACAAAGAATGGCTTAAACCAGTTTTTGGGATTGAAAATATTATGAAACGGACAGAATAGAAAAGCTTCAAGACCTTGCTGAATGAAATAAAAAAAATTGAACATTACCATCTCGATTTTTCAGAAGTTTCTTTCCAACAGAAAGATTGATTAGTTCATTTCAAAACATGAGTTCCTCATGGCAAATTCTCTTATACAACCATCTCTTATACTACCTTTCTCTTATACTACCGAGTCTCTTTTATTACCACTGTCTCTTATACTACTTTTTTTCAATGTGTCTCTCATACTACCAAGTCTCTTTTACTACCAAGGTCTCTTATACTACTTCTTACCACAGAGTCTCCCATACTACCAAAAGAAACAAGGCTTTCGGCCTAAGCTTACAGTTGGCAAAAAATTTGGGGGTACAAGGGGGTACAACTGATTTAGGGGTACAAAATTGGTGATTCGAGAGTACAAAATTCGTAGGTACAAAAAAATGGGATTTGAACAAAAAAAATGGGAAAGAAAATGGGATTTGCGAAAAGCTGTGAATTTTGCGAAATTTCCCATGGAAGAGAAAACCTCGCAGCTCGGCCATGGCCATGGACTGATGACGTCATCACTAGGAAATTTTATTTTAGGATTTTTCTCCGTTTTCCTTCGTTTTTCATAGTTTTTGCTCAAATTTTCGTGGTAATTAATCGAAAAAAATTAATTTAATAATTTTTGTAGTGTTTTATTGCCCTGTTCGAACAATTTTCGAAAGAAAATAGCTCATTTTGGGCAAATTTTTGGGATTTTTGAATTTTTGTGGGAAAATCACTGAATTGTGATTGTTTCCTTCATTCAATAATCTACAAAATTATGAAAAAATGAGAACATTTCAATTACCACGAAACTTGAGGAAAATTGAAAAATTGGCAAAAACCGGAGAATTGGGCAAAAACGAAGGAATATTGAGAAACAAAAGGAAATGTAATAGAATTGAGAAAAAACAATTAAGAAAAATTGGTAGTGAGGGAAGTATGGACTGGGTTTTAAAACCTAAATTAAAAATTAAAATCAAAAAGAACAATCAAAAGACAATGAGAAGTGAACATTTTCTGCCGTAATTTTTGAAAATTCAGAAATATTGAGATTCTGAAGTCCTGAAATTCTGAGGTTTTGAGGTCCTGAAATTCTGAGGTTTTGAAGCTCTGAAATTCTGAGATTCTGAAATTCGGAAGTTCTCAGATTCTCAGTTTCTGAAGTTCCGAAATTCTCAGATTCTGAAATACTGAAATTCCAAAGTTCTGAAATTCTAAGAATTCTGAGATTTTCAAGCTCTGAAATGCAGGAATTGAGAAACTCCTTCAAAAAAAGTGTACCCCCGAATCACAAGCGTTGTACCCCTGTATGAAATGGGTTGTACCCCAGAATCATTGGTAGTTTTCACCCCCGAATTTTTGTACCTACGAATTTTGTACCCTCGAATCACCAATTTTGTACCCCTAAATCAGTTGTACCCCCTTGTACCCCCAAATTTTTTGCCAACTGTAAGCTTAGGCCGAAAGCCTTGTTTCTTTTGGTAGTATGGGAGACTCTGTGGTAAGAAGTAGTATAAGAGACCTTGGTAGTAAAAGAGACTTGGTAGTATGAGAGACACATTGAAAAAAAGTAGTATAAGAGACAGTGGTAGTAAAAGAGACTCGGTAGTATAAGAGAAAGGTAGTATAAGAGATGGTTGTATAAGAGAATTTGCCGTTCCTCATTTGGTTTAAATTGAATCAAAATGGGTATTTTATATGCATATCTCAGTGATTTTCAGATACCAGATATAACTTTCTGATAACTGGAAATTACTATAATAAGCGGAATATCCTTGGATCTTTAACGAGAAGATGAAATTGCTGAAACCCCTGTAATAGAAGGGTCCTCTAAGTTTTCATTCTGAACCCACTTTTCTCGTCCCTGTGAAAGATATAAAAAAGCTGTCAACTGATAAATTGTTTATCATAATATCAGAAGTTTTTTGTCGGTTGACGCACTTTTGATATCTTGAGTAGGAATTGTGATAATTGAGTACAAAGTTGCCAGTGTGTGGACTCTTCTTATACAGGATTCACGGTAATTCTTACTTCATTAATCTTCAATTGCTTCTTCATCCACCCTGAACCTCGTTTTTCAGTTCAATTCGATTCTTTCTTCCTTTTCTAAAGAAGAACTCAGCTACAGTACCCTCGACATTCAAAAAAAACCATTCGCAAATAATTGTGCGATTGCATACATTTATAATGTTTTGTTTTCTTCTTTCTCTTCTCTTCTCTTCTCATTCATCTAACTGAATGTCTGTCGACTGTTTTCTCTGGGTCTCCTTCCTCAACACACTCTCTTCTTCTTCTTCCTGTTCTTCTCCTTCTCTTTCCCAACACATGCGTTCCTTTTCGTCTTTTGAACCTCGTCTCGTGCCATTCGAGTCTTTTTGCTTCTCTCATTTCCCTTCTTTCCTCCTTCTAAAGCTCTTGGTTTTCAAATCTATTCTCTGTTTATCCTTATAATCGCTCATTAGATGGCTCGAAACCTTATACGACTCGTTTCTCAAAATATGCATTTCTAATTTTCAGAAAATGGCTGCGACAGGACCAAGTATGGTCAGCAGTGCATTGGAAATTGTACATTGTAATGAGTGTGCCACAAAATTTAGTAAGTCGAAAATAAAGGGATCCCTAGAAAAAAAACGGTTAAAACGGAAGAAAAGGATGAACAAATCGATTTTTTGAAAAATATTGATCGAAACATAAACTTTGAAAAACAAAATAAATTTCACCTTGTAAAGATTCTAATGTGTGATTCAAACAAACTTCAAGACTCAAGCCGGCCATAAAAAACCATTAGATACCGTAAAACCTGTAATAGAAGGGCCCCCAACGTTTTACTTTGAACCAATTTTTCTCGGTCTCCGTCAAAGATGCAAGAAAGTTGTCAACTGATAAATTGTTTATCATAATATCAGAAGTGTTTTTTTAGTTGACCAATCTTTGATATCTTGCATAGGAATTGTGATAATTGAGTTCAAACTTGAAATTATGGGGAATCTTCTGTTACAGAGGGTTACGGTATTCATCTTCTTAACAACTGAAAAATGCTACAAAATGCACCCGAGAGTAGATCAGGAACTAATAAAAGACATTAATATTATTTTACGAATTTTTCAGATGAGAGAAATCCCGGAATACTGGTGTCATGTGGTCATAATGTATGCAAAGAATGTGCACCCAACTTGTCTGGAAAATATTATTTTTGCATGGTTTGTAAAAAGTCACAGCCACAGATCCAGGAAGGGTCAAGTTTTCTTCAATTACTAGTTGAAAAAATGGAAAAGGATTTGGAATCGACTTGTAAAGAAGAACCAAAAAGATCTGCATGTTCTGAGTGTCGGATGGTTGACTTTGACACGAAGTTAGTTCAGTTTTCCATCGAATTCATCGTTATTTTGTTTTGCAGTCTGACAATTTGCCACGAGTGCAGCAAATGGGAAGTTGGTGATTCGCATGAAGAACATACCGATTACGCCAAACGTCCTATCAGATGGTTGATGTGTTTCCCATGTGCAGAGAAAAATCATTCCGGTCATCCTGTTATGACAGAAGAAACGGTTAAAGTTCGTTCGCTCAAATTTCAAAATTTTATATATAAATTTCACTTTTAGAAAATGTTACATACTTCGGAATCGACAAAACGGATCACACACTTTAAACATGGAACAGAAAAATTACTGAACTGGTTTTCATTGGCGGAGAACATTGTATCTGAAAATAAAGTTTCAACGAATCAGGTGAGAGATATCCGAGACGAATTCAAAAGTAAATAGTTAAAGATTTAGATTTTCCAAGAGCTAATGAGAAAAGTGAACAATGGAGAATATTCAGTGGGATCGGGATATCCACATATCATCAAAGCACTGGACAACTTTAATCATTCATTCAACGAAGATCAATTGGCGATGAGAAATATTTTTGCCAACTTTGGAATCCGAAAGAATTATATGCAATGTCTTCTGAAGTTTGTGGACAAAACAAAAGATGATACTGGAACTTTTAATCGTGTCGAAGTTTCGAGTAAAGAGAGACTCACGGATACCAGTTCGATAATTCTGAAGCATGTCACAGAATTGGCGGAACTTTTGGAGGAACGAGAACATTCGGGTGATCTCGAGCAGTCAGGAGACGACGAAAACGCTGTATTAGAAGATGCTGATAATCAAGATAATATGTCAAATGTTGGTCGGAAAACTCCTCAGCCAAATCGAAAAAGCACCAGAAGGACAGCAGCATCATATGCATCAGCTGATGAAAGCACACCATCTAGGAAAAAGAGAAAAGAAAGCACAGAAAAAACGCCAAGAAGCACCCGGAAGAAGGTGAATAAGAAGGAAGCAAGTGAAGTTCAGCCTCAAGAACCGAGTCGCAGTGATTCAGCCAATACAAATACGATGACTCCACCAACGATACGAACTGATATCACACCACCTCTACCAACAAATTCCCTTAATCCTTATACATCTCCACTGGCTGCTCCTTCAATGATTCCTCAGAATCTTTCTGTATCTTCAAGTAGTGGATCAGTGACGCCTCTTCTTCCAATTTCATTTGAACCTGTTATGTCTCCCCATAATAGTCAACAACATCAACATGAAGCAACGTATGATCAGTCACACACCGATTATCAGAATCACTATTCTGGATACGCGAACATTTATGACGGAAGACCCCTTTCCGCTCAATGGGATCATTCCAGGCAGCTTTACGAATCAACATCTGCCGCTTCTGGTGCGTTTCAAAATTATTTTATTTCAAAGTATACAATCTGTTTTTTAGAATATTCCGCTCTTCATAACAATCAACAGCAAACGGTCTACAACGGTTCGTCTTTGATCTAATACTAAAAAACTGGAATCAAATTTGATTTTTCGTTTTCTTAATCTCCTTTTTCTAAATTTTCGCCTCACTTTCAACTTTCAGCCAATTTATCTCATTTCCTGTTAAAGATATCGAAAAGTGGCAAACTAATAAAATATTTTTGAAGCCGTTTTTTTAGAGTTTTCACAGTATTTCAATTTCAAAACAACATCTTTGAATCAATTCTCACCGATTAATTGTTATTTTTCCATGTCAATTTTTTTCAATTCTAACTCCGAACAAAAAAAATATTTTCTCATTTTTCCTGGCATTGAATTTGGAATGTCTTTCCTCAGAAACTCTAGAAAATTTGACCCCAGAAAAGCAACTCCGGAAAACTTGTTCGACCTGATTCAATAAAAAGTTTCTGAAATTTCATTAGATTCTTTAGAATCCGATTTTTAACTAAATGGTTCAGGTAAGAAATGATTTAGATTTAACCCAATTTTACAATCTCAATCAGTATTCACAGTTAAAGGGGCACTGATGAAGAATGCAGAAAGGGGAGAACTGACGGGTCGTTAACGGACGGTTGACGGACCATCGGAACCCCTTGGAATACCACCATGAAAGTTTTGATTGGAAATCAAACAGAAAACAATATTTCGATTTTTCACTAAAACAGTTCAGGTTCAAGTAACAGTTAATTTAGATGTGACCTAATTTTACAAGCTCAATCTGTATTGGATCAAAGAAACGACACACGTTACTGTTCTAGAATGGATATATCGTGTAATATCGGTATTGCTCCACGTAGTATTCACTGGCACAGTTTCTTGGGAGTAAGGTAACACAACTTGAGATCCCCTACAAGTATCATCATCAAAATGAACGGTACAACCAATCTGACGGATGCATCTGCCATTGAGAAGAGACTGTAAGCTCTAGCTTCTTTTTAACTAACTTGCAACCGGCCCTTTGCTGGACCCTTCACGGGCCTTGCTATAGTTTCTTGCAGAAAAAATATTTTTATATCAACTAAATTAGACATGATAGAACTCTGCAAGTTCTACAAATTAATATTATTTGAAAAACTGTGTCTTGTCTTTGAATAAAGTTACAAGTCAAAAATGGCTGGGCCTTGTCGCGTAGAGTCGGGCCGGGCTTCTGTTTTTTGTCTGTAACTTTGTTCATAGACAAGACACAGCTCCAAATAATATCATTTTGAAGTACTCGCCGAGTTCTATCAAATCGAATTTAATTGGTCTGAAATAATAATTCTAAAAGAAACTATGGCAGATCCCGCGAAGGCCCGGCAAAGGCCCTGTTTCAAGTATGCTATATTAAAAGGAATCTGAGTTTTCAATTTTCAGAGAAGAGATCAATGAGACACTGTCTTCGATCAGTGCAAAAGAGGTTCTCTTCATAATCACTCTTAGTTTCTTGGCTGTTTTCGCTGCCATTAATATGTGTCTTTTGATTCTGGAAAGAAGAAAAAAGAGAAAACAGAACTCAGTTCCACAGGCGATTGTTATTCAACCGAACAATGCCAAACAGGACAGTAAAGCAGGAAGAAATGATAAATCAAAGATGTCTTCATCTGGATACGAGAAAGATGTTTTGCCTTCTAAATCTATGAAAATGAAGGTTTCGATTTCTCCGAGCATGTCTACTCTCAAAAAAACTCGTGCTCCCTCCAAAGAATCGACCACGGAAGACAGTCAAACATCCAGAACAGATACTTCCCAAACCGAAAAGATCACTAAAAAACCACCAGTTCCACCAACAGCCAATGTGTCACTTCCCCCTCTTGAAAATGCAGCTTCAGCTGATGTGACCACTGCAGTTGAACCTGGTGCTCCTAATCCGTCTTCTTCCAACTCGACAACGGCTCCAGCAACCCCAACTGCTAATTCTCAAGTTCAAAACGTTGCTCCTGTGGTTCCAGCAGCAGTTTCTTCTCAGAAATCCGAAAGTTCTCAATCCCAAGAATCCGGAATGACGTCGTTCACCGTGCCTGAGGATCCGAATTCAAATCGCTCGAAGACTCCAATCACTGCTCCAAAAGAGACAACGGCTCTCAAAGAAATTGCTCCTGCTACACCAACTGCCACAACTCTTTCCGGAGCTTCTTCTATTTCAACTGCTCCATCTGAAGGCGGAAAGACTGGCGATGTGGTAACAGCAAAAGATCTTACTTTGGTAATAGTTATTATCCAGTCTAACAAAATATTATCCTTCTCTTCCTTAGGCAAAATCACCAATGACTCCAGTGGGTCGTACTCCAGAAGTTACCATTCCACCTGCATCTATTCCTCCAGTCATCACTACAACTCCACCACCTAATAGTGAAAAGAAGGTGAGAGTATGAATAACAGAAAGGTATAATTATTGAAAAATTCAAGATTTGAGGTCATTACAATGTTTCCATCAGGATGCGGTTCGTCGGTTTGAGTTCTACAATAGTTTTCTTTTTTGTATTCGTTTTTTGAATAAATATTTTATTAGATTCCCTTTCATCCTTTTTCTTCTATTTTTTTGATTTCGATATTGAAATCGGGTTTTCTCGATTTTATTCCAAATAGCGGCCTGCTTCGCCTTCTCTTTTTCCTTCTTTTAGATGGTGGTATGTGCGAATTTCTGGTCATTCAACATTCTTGCAACAATCAGGCAACATTATCGAAATATGAATTATGTCTCTCGCCAAAAGGACACTTGACTATCTTCCTGTATTTCCTCCCTCTCATCCCGCTTTCACTATACGTCGTTTCTCCGAGAGGCAAAGAAGAAGAAAGGACGCCTTCGTTTCGGCGTTTCCCGACCAGTCCATCAGCTGGCTTCGAGTTATCATCTCGTTTTATATTATCACCCATCATTATCATTATCATCGTAAAATCATCCAAATTTCTTTTGTCTTATTTTTGATTCTTCGTTTTTCATAATTCAAATTTTAGAGTTTATTGTTGTTTTTTTTTTCCTGAAAGAAGTTTTGCAGAAGTAACCTTTGGGAAGAGCATTTTCACCATTAGAAAAGTGGCTCTTTGAACTCAATTGCCTTACGTTCTAATCCTTTACTTATCTTCTGCCCTGTTCCGTTTTCATGGCCCTCTGATTTTTTTTTCAAGGAGGGGAATAGTGAAAAAAAAACCGTTTTCTCGAAATTTCGGTCATATAAGCCTCCCAAGAAGCTGAACTTTTGGGCACAGCGTTTGAGATCCCGCTCCGCTACCAGCTGATCTGCGGACCAATTTAAAGTTATTAAAGCTACACGATAGCCACTCACTGTGTGAACACCGTCACGCCAAAATGCATACTCCTGCCTCAAAAAAAATCCCTTAAAACTTTCCTGTCTCCCCTCCTTTAACTTCTGACACACTTTTCGATTTTGTAACCTTGAATCCAGCCATCCCCATCCCAACTTCTTTTCCGATGATCATGAATTTTTTTATAGTCTCGTAACCCAGTTTCTTGTTTCCGAATCATGAACTTCCTAAACTCATCATATTCACACACACTCTCTGGTCTCCTATTCAGTTCTTCTTCTCCTTTTCCGGTGCTCATCCATTGAAGCGAATCGAGCAGTTTACTTTCTGTATGCTCACTCTAATAATGTCGTCTTATCCCCTCTCTTCTCCTACCGTTTCATCGAATAAACACCCCCCGTTCGTTTCCTCCCTGTGTTGAGGAGAGTCTCAAGTGGACGAGTGCATATTCATTGACTAACTACTTTTCCCTTGTACACACTTTTCAAAATTCCACTTCTGCATTTTTTCAGCACCGAATCTGAGTCGATTGTCACGAGATTCCGACTGTACTCGGATTGATGGTGGTCCTTCTGGGTACGGTCCACCACCACCAGAAAAGGATTACTACAGTAGATCAACGGTTCCACGAATGACGTCATCCGGAAACCATGGTGATCGTCTTAAAAATAGATATGAAGCATGTCGGAGTGGAATGCAAGAGTTGGATGCGCTTCGAGCAAAACACACCCTTCTGATTCAAGTTTGTTATCTGAAACGTCTATCACGAATCGCTATATGTTTCCAGAATCTTCGTTCCAGACTTCCAGTCATTCCTGGTAGTCTAGACGATGTGCAGGCCAGAGAGAAGAAAACAAGAGATGGTCTTCTGGATAGATTCTCACTTCAATCAGTGGATTCTGGCATCTCATCTCAAAACACAGTCAGTTCAACACGCAGTTCTACTCCAGAAGACTTCAAATTGTCTTCAAATAGGCATTCAAACATTTACGAGTAGGGAATTAGTGTTTTAATCCCAAAAAAGAAACAAGACGGATTACAGGCATAGTTCAACTACTATGAACTACTCAACGTTTCGGAAAATGTCCCTTGAATCAACACACAGTAATGTTTCTAGTTATTTGAATAATAATAACAACGAATACACGGAGAAAACGAACTTTGCACCGCCTGTTATTACTTCAAGAAGTTGTCATCGAGGAGCCTGGAAGACGTCACCACAAAGAGTTCGACCGAAAAGCATGTTTGATTCAACGACTTCAGCAACTGAATACTTGTGAGTTCTGTGATATTTTTTTTGAGTAGTGACTCTTCTTGTTAATCCAACTTTGTTTTTTCGCCTTTTCAAATTATCGTAAACACTATAAAAGAAGACCATCAAAACCTTCAACTTTGAGCTGACATATATTTTGATATCTGTAAAAGATATCAAAAAGTGGTCAACTGACAAAATGTTTTTCGTTTTATGTTAATTATTTTATTAGTCGATCACTTTTTGATATATTTTATCTGAGCCCAGATAAATTGGCTCAAACTCAACGGGTCATCCTATGACTGTTTATTAAGATCATTTTCCAGATTTACCAAACCGCCAAGACATCCGATTGATCTAACCAAAGAGGTTCGAAACAATCATTTTATACTAATTTCAGACCATATAATTTCAGCGTCGATCCGCGTTCACCGTCATAAATCAATCGTCAAAGCGGCATTCAAGTATTGAACCAACAACCGTACCAAACAGTTTGAGCCAATTGAATCTTAACGAAGAATCAAAATCTCCGCAGAAAGCAGAAGTCATTCGATGGAACAAACAAGTATCGAAAATTCCAGAATATTCCGTTTTGATTCATTATTTTCCAGAAAGCAGATGCCATGTTCCGTGCCAATGTTGTCTACTTGTCCACTTCAGAACAACAATCAAAACCACCTCTTCGTTTCTCTCCATCCCGTTCTCCACCAGTTCGTAGAGCCCTCCCGATTGAAATGACACCGACTCAACACTATGCACAGCTATGTAAAATAAGATCACCAAAACTCAATTCGAAAGTGGTTTTCGCTGCCAAACCAATTGCCGTCAGGTTAGATTTATTTTCTGAATTATGTATCAAATATTATGAACATTTCCCTAAAAACCAGATAATGAGCTAATAAATTCTCTGTTTCAGACCAAGCGTCTCCCCAATAGTGACTCAACGATCAACGTGGCTTCAATCTCAACCACTGTGAAAGTCCAAATGGGTTCAGCTCTCCTCCCCTTATAAAATCTCATCCAGAATTCGATACACTAACACTCTTCTGAAATTCAGAATCTGAAATCCACGTCATTGTGCAAACGGATCTACTTTTTTCAAAATATCTATTGATCCCTTTCCTGATCCATAATCAACTTTGAATCCCTGTCAAAACAAATTGCTCCGCTAGTGATGAAAATATGAAACTGTACTATGTCTTTGAGACGAATAAATATTCAAACTCCATTATTTTTTTTTGTTTGAAATTATTCGTGAGAAGTCAGCGAATTCCTACAAACCCATTTCACTTTTTTCCCAATCAAAATGAGAAAAGAAAAAGAATTCGAAAAGAAAGAAGAATGTCTTCTCTCATTCTGTTTGTAGAATGATGACTGAAGGTGTGCAACCGACAGGCGAAATTGCTGTCCGAAGGGTTGAACCACTTGCAATCGAGATTTCCGGAGAGCCGAGAGTAGATTCAGTTGACGCATTTTGTGATAGGTATTGCTCCGAGAATATGGAGACGAAAACTAAAATCTATATTTCTCTTTTGTTGATCCTTCCTTCCCTCATATATTTTCTAGTTTCTATTAATTTAAGCCATCCGAAAAGATCACACGTTGAGGTAAGAATCTAGATATAACCCTAAGCGGTTTTTTGGTTTTATAAACTACATTACCTCTATTCAACTTATTTTAAATGTTTCTAATTTGCTTTTCCAGCTTCAGCACTTTGAAGCACCACTCATTCTAAACATTACAACGTTTTCTGAAGATAGCTTCTCCGCAGTGGAGTACGCGGAAGCATTCGATATAGCTGTCAAGTACGTCTTCTTTTTCTTCTTTTCTTTGTCAACATGTTTCTTTTCCAGAAATGATCAATTGGTCATGCCAACTGGGATAGGCAGGTTTGTTTCGAAAGATATTGATATCTTACGCCGCGTTCAAAGTTGATTTCCAGGAGTAATTTCCTGGAAAAACGCTGTCCAAAGCTGCGATTGTTTTACAGATTTACAGTAACAGTAAACTACTGTATCACTCGTTTTGACTGTGTTCTTCCTGTTGATTCATGTCGATTTACGGCGGGTCTTGAAGCGGAGGGGGGATCCTCTAGAGTCGACCTGCAGGCATGCAAGCTTGGCACTGGCCGTCGTTTTACAACGTCGTGACTGGGAAAACCCTGGCGTTACCCAACTTAATCGCCTTGCAGCACATTCCCCTTTCGCCAGCTGGCGTAATAGCGAAGAGGCCCGCATCGATCGTCCTTCCCAACAGTTGCGCAGCCTGAATGGCGAATGGCGCCTGATG